GAAAAAAAGCCAAAATGGAACAAATACGGCCGGTTATGGATTAATCGGTTTTCAATGCATTGTAGGTCAATGGAGCCTCGACCTACAGACTTTCTGACCTGCAGCTACCGTCCCAATACGGAGTAATTCTGTAAGTTGAGGGTCCACTGTAGTGTTTATGCTACTAAAGGGCTCAGAGTTCAGAAAAATATTTTTGGACTACCACCCCTAGAATCCCCCGGCCAGATTCTGGTCATTGCAGTCCAAAAAGTAAATTTTCCAAGCTTTGAAACAGTTGGATTTCCAGACTGCAGAGAACCTTTGAGCATCTCAATTTGCTGGGTGCTTCTGTTGTTCCAAGACAGAGAACAGTACTTGGGACAAGTGTTTAGGAGAGCTCTGTGGTCTCTTGCTGTCTTTTCATCAGATCTGTCCATCAAATGAGTGATGTATGAGACTGAAGACAAAAGCAGTCACTCTGGAGGATGTTTATTGCTTGCTGTATATGATGCTGTCTTGCCTAAAGAAAGAGTCCTTCTGCAATTTCAGGTCTTTCTTTAGCCATACAATCCACACCCAGTAGTTCCTTGATAGGAGGTGCATTAGCTCCTCTTTAGACTGCCTTTCTTGCACCATCTAGTGGAAAGAATGAAACAGGAATAAACAAAAGCAGTCACTCTGGAGGATGTTTATTGCTTGCTGTATATGATGCTGTCTTGCCTAAAGAAAGAGTCCTTCTGCAATTTCAGGTCTTTCTTTAGCCATACAATCCACACCCAGTAGTTCCTTGATAGGAGGTGCATTAGCTCCTCTTTAGACTGCCTTTCTTGCACCATCTAGTGGAAAGAATTAAACAGGAATAAAGAACTTGATCATCCAGAAGATCCATATGCTTCAGGAGGCTGAAAACATACACAGAGCCCAACTTCTAACATTCTTGAAGCTTTTCCTGAGTCATTGAAGCTTTGGTTTGTGTTCACATCTTTAGTGAATGGTGTTTCCAGTTTCATCACAATCAGTATTCCTTCTCTCAACGTCTTTGCATGTATTTTACCAGTGATCCATCATAATTACCACAAACACTAAGGAGTTCTTTTATATATGTATGTAGACATTTGTAGAAATTCTCAGCTGCAAATTCAAATGAAGGAGGAGTGTAAATTGATGAAAAAAATCACTAATTTAAAACATGCAGATAACAGCATACTACAGACAGAAAGCAATAAACTGAAAAAAAGTGGTAAAGTTTAAAGAAAAATAGAAAAGCAGGATTGCAGCTAAATATTAAGACAGAAGTGATTAAAGAATTAGATGCCAGTGAGTTGCATACCTTGTTGTAAAATGGGAGGTCAGGAGTTGAGAGTTTGATTCCCCAGGAGAATCTCCTGCCTCTCAGGAGAACAGCCAGCTGGTGTAGCCTTGGGCAAACTGCACAGTCCTAGAGAAATGGAATAGGAAACTGCTTCAGAGGACTTTATGTCTAGAAAACCCTTACAAAGTTCAGGATCAGCTTGATGTCATATTATTATTACTATTGATGTTGATTCTAAGACTGAGACTTGGAAGGGTAGGTATGAACGAACTAAAAAAAAAGATCCTTACGTGTAAGGATATGTTGCTGGAAACCAAGGCCAAGATCCTCCATACTATGATATTCATCATTAAAATGTAGTCATGTGAAAAAGTGACAAGAAAAAAAAAGATGTGGTTTTGAAGGAGAACTTTAAGAATGCCATGGACCACTAGAATCAACTCCAGCCTGAATTCTCACTAGAAGCTAAAACGAGGCTGTTGACTTTGGATGTATAATAAGAAGACAAGAGTAACTGGAAAAGACAGTAATACTAAAAATAGTGGAAGGCAGTAGAAAAAAAAGGAAAACTGAACATGAGATGGATGGACACAAAGGAAGCTATAACGTTTAGTTTGTAGGACCTGAGCATGGCTTTTAATGGTAGACCTTTTTGGAGGTCAATGTTGTGAAGGATTACTCGGGTTACACAGCCCTTCTATCTAGGTTGGGTCATGCCCAGGAGGGTCAGTGCAGTAGTGATTGAGAAATGCCTACTGTACCCCACTGGTCCCCAACACACTCTTGAGTTACTTACGCCTGGGTGCTTCAGGGAAAATACAAGTAGGATGTTGCTTATGGTTGCAAACCAGCCCTGTATAAAACTCAAAAGAACCCAAAATACCCTCAAAGTCTCTGAGCATCTCAGACATCAAATTTAGTACCTGCAACCCCTTTTCAGCTGTCTAAATAAACCACAGCTTGTATAAAATGTTAGAAGTTTATTAAAAAGCAAAAGTGGCAAAGCATAACAGCTTGACAAAAGATTATATGTTTCAGCAGTGATACAGAAAAAGCATCATCATGTTGAAGAAGCATACTGTAGTTACACAGCTCAAAGCATTGTAGGGCTTTTGCGCAAAAAAAAGGCTGAGGCTATCTATACTTCCAAGTTCATGCAGAGTACCCTATGGCATAAAACATGAAGCATACTGTGAATAGCTTAAGCCATTGTTCCAAGATGATGATTTTCTAACTAATTACCTTCTGCCTTATATCCTGTTGTCCCCTCATCAGCAGACTTGAGGACTCTATCAATCACATTACATCTTTTAACTGGCTCTAGCTGTACCATCCAAACTAATTTTATTACTGTATTTTTCCATGTATAAGATGACCTGATGTATAAGACAACCCCCACTTTTCCAACCCCAAATAAGAAAATTTGCTGCTTCCCCCCTCCACTTCATAACCCCTGTGAAAGTAGGATCAAAGGGCTGAGGAAGTGGAGGGGGAAAGCAGTGATCTTAGGAAGTGGAGGGGGAAAGCAGTGATGAAAGGGCTGCAGGATTGCAGCCCTTTGATCCTGCAGCCCTTTCATGGCTGCATTTCCCTGCCACTTCATAAGCCCTGCGGGGCTTTGGAAGTGAAGGGATAAAGCAGCCATGAAAGGGCTGCAGGACCAAAGGGCTGTGATCCTGCAGCACTTTGATCTCTTCCCCTACTTCCGTGTATAAGACGACCCTCAATTTTTAGTCTGAAAATGTTAGATAAAATTATCGTCTTATACACAGAAAAATACTAACTGTTTTGGGCACTCCTCCCTATCTGTTCTGGGTGGGAAAATCATCCAAGGCGACAGGTAATGATGTTTTCCCTGTTACCTTAAGACAGCTCTATAGCAATTACCCTGTTCTCAAAATATTTGGACTTGTTTTGGTCCTTTGAGACATTTTTCAGATTTTAAAGACTTGATGTTAACTTTATTTCTGTTAAGTTAATGATTCAGAACCAGATACAGATGTTGTCTATCTGGATTTTCAGAAGGCATTTGACATGGTTCCTCACCAAAGGCTGCTGAGAAAACTCCACAGTTAGGGGATAAGAGGGCAGGTCCTCTTATGGACTGAGAATTGGTTGAGAACCAGGAAACAGAGGACACTTTTCACAATGGGGAGAGGTGAAAAGCGGTGTGCCCCAGAGAACTGTCCTGGGACCAGTGCTTTTCAATCTATTCATAAATGACCTGGAGACAGGGATAAGCAGTGAGGTGGCCAAGTCTGCACGAAACTTTTCCGGGTGGTGAAGACCTGAAGGGATTGTGAAGAGCTCCAGAAGGATCTCTCCAAACTGGGCGAATGGGCGGCAAAACGGCAAATGTGTTTCAATATAAGAAAAGGTAAAGTGATGCACATTGGGGCAAAAACAAAAAATCAAAACTTTATTTATTGGCTAATGGGTTATGAGCTGTCCGTGACAGATCAGGAAAGAGATATTGTGTGCTGGTGGACAGCTCAATGAAAGTGTCAATCTAGTGTGCAGCGGCAGTGAAGAAGGCCAATTCCATGCTAGGTATCATTAAAAAGGGGATTGTAAATAAATAGCCAACATTATAATGCCATTGTACAAAATGTTGGTAAGGCCACACCTGGAGTACTGTATTGTGTACAGTTCTGGTTGCCACACCTTTAAAAAAAAGGTTGGTAAGGCCACACCTGGAGTACTGTATGGTGTACAGTTCCACACCTTTAAAAAAGCCTAGTGGAACTGGAAAAAGTGCAGAAGAGAGCAACGATGCCCCAGCCCAATGATGACTGGGCTGGGGAACCTCCCTTATGAGGAAAGGCTACAGCGTTTGGGGCTCTTTAGTCTAGAGAAAAGGCTCCTGGGGGGGGGACATGATTGAGACATATAAAATTATGCAGGGGTGGATAAAGTGGATAGAGGGAAGCTCTTTTCCCTCTCACACAATACCCAAACCAGGGGACATCCACCCCAATTGAGTGTTGGGAGAGTGAGAACAGACAAAAGGAAATATTTCTTTACCCAGTGTGTTTTTAATCTGTGGAGCTCCTTGCTACAGGAAGTAGTGATGGCATCTAGCCAAATCCCTTTAAAAGGGGATTGGACACATTCCTGGAGGAAAAGTTCATCTCATTCCCCAAGCCATGATGGGGATGTATGATCTTCAGGCTTAAAAGGAAGATACATCCAAATGCCAGATGCAGGGGAGGGGTATCAGGAGACAGGTATCTCATTATCTTGTGTGCTCCCAAAGGCATTAGGTGGGGCCACTGAGAGATACAGGAAGCTGGACTAGGGGGTGGTGTGCTCCCAAAGCCATCTGGTAGGGCCATTGAGAGATACCGAAAGCTGGACTAGATGGGCCCTGGTCTGATCCAGCACAGGGCTCTTCTTATGTAATCAGATTACTACTGAGCTTGAGTTTGTCCCAGGTGTTGACTTGAATAGAGTGCTTTGTCATAAATTTAGTATGGAAAATGCATATGTATTGGAGTATGCATGGAACTTTGGATCCCAGTCTTAATGCTGTATTATGATTGGAGTCAGTTTGGCTCCCATGAGGGGAGAAGGTGAAATTCCAGGAAAAGTATCTTTAATTTAGTAATAATTAATATAAATACACTGTGTGCAATTATTTTAGGACAAGATTGTAAGCATTTTTTTCTGATAGTGACATACATTTTAGAATACTAATGGTTAAATTTGACTTAAGAAAGTTAATAAATCAGAAGACTGCACGTTCAGTTACTTTCAAAGAATGTTGAGGGTATCAGTTTCTACACAGAGACCCCCCTCTACCCAATGCAAATAGTGATAAAGTGCTGATGTCTGAGACAGGTAGCTCATCCCAGGGCAGAATCCTTTACATATGACAATGAGATGAAATTTCATGGGTATGGGAAGAACTATGCTTCCACTGTTTCTGCCCTCATCCCCACACACCCCTGCATCAGTTCTTAACAGTCCAAGAATGCTCTAAGTTTGGATCAGGAGTGATCCTATGAGACCCTGAGAACGTCCTCCATTATTTTGAAGCAGGACTGTACTTGTTTATATTGTATTTGTGACTAAGAAATGTCACAATGACAGAATGTATATTTGACTTTTTATTTGTTGTCATGCTTGTTGATTTGGGTCTTCAAAAAAAAAAAAAGACCCTTCTGCTTTATGACAGAGAAATGGAAATTCATTGTATGAATCAGAATGTCAAGCTCATCTTTACCTGTAGGTGGCAGAATTACTGCTTTGGTATGGAGCTGATCCATTGCTTAAAAATGAGAGAGGGAAGAGTGCCTTAGAAGAGGCTACTAACCAGCAAATGAGGAAACTACTGGAAAGTTATGTAGCCAGATCTACTATTCATGAAGCATCAGGTAGGAAACTGGTATGATTGTTATTTTTTAAAAGGAGACATTTCAACACATATAGACTCTGTTCTGTCATGTCGTCATATCTTGGTGCTCAAGTTATTAAAATGACGGTTGTGTATATATGTTTACTGGATGAAATAACCAGAAATTGCAGGCATGTCATACAATGAAATATTTAATCTATGATGCATACATTCTTGCAAACTACCATCAAGATAAACAGGTTTTCTAAGCATTTTTAGTATTTAAATTCTAATAATACTGCCTTTGAATTTTGTTCCTCTGAAGTACAACAGAGGATCAAGTGGTATAGTTTAGCCTTTGCTTAAATATAGAATGGCTAGACACTTCCTAGGGTGTCTGTGGAACAATATATCACTGAACAGTGGACAGCCAGAACTTAGCAAGCTGTGGGTGAAAAGATGAGTGGCTATACTAAAAGAATCCAGCCTGGCAGGGACAACTGCAGTGAAACACATCTCTATTTTTAGCTAGACCATATTGCCATTTCCTGAGCTTATTCCCATTTCTACCATCTCTTTTTGAACTGCTGTTATAACTTCTTTGAGTAGAGGAGTGAACCTTTGTGTGCCATTTTGATTCTGCCATTATTAACTTGCAAATTTGATCAAAGTTAGAAAAGGTTTGAATGGAATCCGTACTGTTTATATAATGTTTAAAAATACAAAGCTTAAATGTGGCTTATTTTCAGCAATGCAGTGGGAATGGACAGTGACAGTATATACCAGTGAACTGAATGGTCACTTCAAATTCTTACTTTACATTCATTTTCAGCTGAAAGGTTCACAGAATACCCAGTTGGTGATCAAGATGGAGACAATAAAAGCAAAAGCCGACCTAAGGTAATATTAATAATGATTTATCAACATAGGTTTGTCTTTAAGGTATTCCAATGCAAACTAAAAACATAGAGGGTTTCTGGCATGATTTTCAAAGCCCAAGCCATAATAAGTTGTCTGTAACTCATAGGATCAAATCTGTTTCATTCTAAGTGGAATTTATTTTTTATTGTCATATGCTAATACAAAGCCTTTTAACTTCTATGTTATCATCAGAATCCATTCTAAGAACAAATATTTGTGGCAACTAGCAAAATATATCCTTGCAGTTCCTTTTCAGTCCCACTGACCATAATGTTTGGATTTTTTAGGTAAAAGCAAGGTCAAGTGAAAGAGTGCAACATTCATTTATTGATAATACTAGGATACTAAAGCAATACAGTGTGAAATTAGAAAAAAAGAAGAGAAAAAGAAGTTCAAAAAATAATTCTGCCTCCCAAACTCAAAATAGTTGTAGAATATTGAATGAAACAACACTAAAGGATACATGTCCAATTTTGAAGGCAAAGCAGTCAGTCAGAAAAAGAGCAACATCTTCAGGTACATCCAGTGACAGAACCAATATAAATGATCAAAAAAATGAAACACACAATGATTTTGGTCATATAACTGTTCTTTCTTTTGCAAAAAACCCTGTTGGATCTTCAGTGCATCACCAGGATACTTCAGACACAATTGATGGCGCTGCAAAAGAGCCCAGCATGCTTATAGGTTCAGAAATACAGCAAGAGAGTGACTTGGATAAGAGGAATAATGATGGTTCTTCAGAGACAAAAGAGGTTTATCAAAGCAGTGAACCAGCAGGAACATTAAAAAGTCAAGTGACTAATCCCTGTATTGTGACATCACTGAACCCTATTCAAGAAGAATCTGCTTCACCTTCTCTAACAAATCTAGTAAATGAATCTAATTTGCAGAAGGAAGAACAATGTGCCATGAAACATAGCGATGAGTCACCTTATGATAAAGTTGATATTTTAGATGACAACTTGCATTCTGCTGAAAAAATATATGTCTGGTCAGTTAGAGAAGAAGGCATTAATCTTTCTAATGAGAAAAATAGATCACAATATGTGCATTCTGAAAACTCTATGGATAAAATCAACTTATACTGCCAAAGGGATATCGTTATAGAGCGTGAACTAAGGATTCCGAAAGAATCTTTACCTGCGGCTAGAGAACCTATTTGTTTAGAGCCAGGAAGTACAACCATGCTGCCCGAGCAAGAGACTGCACTTCTTAGTGATTCTGATTGTACTGTTATTTCTGAGCTATGTAATTTAAATGCAGACCAAAACACAGATAAAAATACTTCTAAAGCTGTTGAAACTTGCAATGAACAAATAGTTCAAGTTAACATGGAAATATTCTCACCTTCTGCATTTTCTCAGCATATTAATAGAACTGGTGTTTCTGAATACCCTGACACTTACAGCGACAGTGAACTCACTCCTTCTGTGAACGCCAAGAGTATACTGTTAGGGCCAAAACCTGAAGAAAATATGACATGTCATCTTGAGACATCAAGAAATGGTTCTGAAGTGGAGAGGAACACATTCGTGACTTCACAGATGCTGGACAAAGAAGCATTCCAAGGTAATAGACATACACAGAGTTGCATGTTTCTCTTGTGGTACAAGAGAAATGGAGCCAGACAAGATACTCTATTTATTGTTAGTTGTTTCTTGATTTGCCATCTTTTTATTCTTTGTTATGGAGCACTAGCATTTTTAATTGAATGACAATATGCATATTTTAAAATAAATAAATATATAGAAGATATCCCTTATCTAATACATGGTTTTATAGCTGTTCAGTAAGAAGCGTTTCAGGACAAAACTCCTCTAGGTCCTATCCCAAAACAGTTAATGGGTTCAATTTTTATTAAAAGAAGGCTTACAACATGTTTGATGCTAGATTGAGGTGGGAGTTGTTGTGGAGAGTTCATTCCTGCATTCACAATTTCTTTGTAACCCATCTGACTGCAGAAACCTGTATGCAAAATTTCCTGCCTTGACGTGACTTTCTAAGTGTAATATAAAACCACAATCAAAATACATTAAATTGCAAGGTTTCCTCAAAAAAACTTGGGAAAATTTATTTTGTTATCTCTGAACATGAGCCAAGGGAAATCCTAAGACATGTATTTTATTCATAGGATTTCTTGTGGTAAGATATGATACTGAATCTGAATAACATTTTGTTGTGCACTATTTTGCTTTCACTATTGCCTTTGCAAAAATGATGAGGTGTATTGCATGTGACTACAGTTTGCATACAGCATTATTTTAGTTAAAAACATCATTACACTATTTATCCTTCAGAGTAAGTAACAGAAAAGTTAACTAATTTGTAAATAGACATTTTAAATCATCTGTGCAGTCTTAAAAGGTGAATCTTTCAAAAGCATTAGGCAAGTTATACTAATTATATCTACAGTAATAAATCATATGGTATTTTCATCAAGATCCAATATAATTGATTTTTTCTGTAAATAGTGGTGATTCTAGTACTGTAATTCTACCTTCCCCCCTCCAACAAGCAGGCGAAGTGCTGCAACTTGAAGAATGTTATGAGGCAAGTAGAAAAGAAAATGCAGATAATGGATCTGATGTACAATCAAATGAATTAGAAACTATGCAAAGCAAAAGAATCCAAACTAAGTTTCATGAGAACAGCCAAAGTACACATTGGTTTTCTAGCAGAAATGAAAAGAATGTATCTTCAAATGATGAACAGTTCAGTCAGACTGAAGAGCAGCATAAACCAGATTCATCAGGTAAGCAGTTAATGGTTTTGCAAAGCAAACACTCTAGAAGTTCATGTTATTGTTGAAAGTCGAAGGATCAATCCTGGAACACACCCTACAACCCTTTAGAGACTCACCCTGCCCCCCCGGGGTCAGAGGGGGTGAAATCGCCACCTTCTGGGACTCTTCTGAAGCTTCCCAAGCCTCAAAAGAGTCCCAGAATGTGGCGATTTCGCCCCCTCTGACTCCCGGGGGGACAGGGTGAGTCTCTAAAGGGTCCTGGAGCACACCCTAGGACCCTTTAGGGACTCACCCTGCCCCCCTGGGGTTCAGAGGGGGTGAAATTGCCACCTTCTGGGACTCTTCTGAAACTTCCCAAGGCCCTCTCTGACCCCCGGGGGGGGCAGGGTGAGTCTCTAAAGGATTCTGGAACACACCCTAGGACCCTTTAGAGACTCACCCTGCCCCCCCGGGGGTCAGAGGGGGCGAAATCACCACCTTCTGGGATTCTTTTGAGGCTTGGGAAGCTTCAGAAGAGTCCCAGAAAGTGGCAATTTCACCCCCTCTGGCCTCCCGGGGGGGGGCTGGGTGAGCCTCCAAAGGGTCCTAGGGTGTGTTCCATAAGACATCTCTCCATAAGGCTCACCAATTTTTAGGAGAAGAAAACAAATTATTTTTCCTGTTTTCTTCTCCTAAAAATTTGGTGCGTCTTATGGAGAGGTGTGTCTTATTGAGCGAAAAATACGGTAGGTACAACCTCGGTGGGAAGGTAAACAGCGTTCCATGTATAGCCACGCTGGCCACGTGACCATGGAAACTGTATTTGGACAAACGCTGGCTCTACGGCTTAGAAAGGGGGATGAGCACCGCCCCCTAGAGTCGAACACGACTGACTAAAATGTCAAGGGGAACCTTTACCTTTACCTTAATTTTATTTCATCTATACTTAATCTGGTGAAACTTGCAGGTAAATGGCCAATGCAATCACCCCCTTACTCTCAGGTAAATGCGTACAGCCTTACACTTGAGTCTCTTGTGAGGGCCTCAGTTAACTGATAGAAAGCCCCTCTGACCCCTGGGGGTGGGCAGGGTGAGTCTCTAAAGGGTCCTAGGGTGTGTTCCAGGACCCTTTAGAGACTCACCCTGCTCCCCCGGGGGTCAGAGGGGGCAAAATCACCACCTTCTGGGACTCTTCTGAGGCTTCCCAAGCCTCAAAAGAGTCCCAGAAGGTGGCAATTTCGCCCACGCTGGCCCCGTGGGGGGTGGGGGAAGCATCGCAAGGGTCCTGGAAGGCTCACTCAGACCCTTCCATCGCTCCCACCACCCACCCCACCACGGGGCCAGCGGGGGCAAAATCGCCGCCTTTGCTCCATAAGACGCACAGACTTCCCCCCCACATTTTTTGGGGGGGAGTGCATCTTATAGAGCAAAAACAGTATTTATCTACTCACACTTACATGCTTTCGAACTGCTAGGTTGGCAAGGAGCTGGGACAAAGCGATGGGAGCTCACTCCGTTGCATGGATTCGATCTTACAACTGCTGATCTTCTGACCCTGCAGCACACAAAGGCTTCTGCGGTTTAGCCCACAGCGCCACCACGTCCCTAATAAAATTAAAACCTGCCAGTTACTCAATATAAAGCTCAGTGCAGAGAAGCCTGTTGGGAATCATCTCCTTTCAGTGGGAAGCCAAGCAAAGGGGTGCTACCAATGGAAGTTACCAATTGATGGCTCATTGGATCAAAAGAGCTTCCACTGTTGGAGGTCCATGCAAACATTTAACAGTTTTATCTGCCTTTGCCCTTGTTTGTTGTTTGGGTAGCTAAAGCAATTTCATCCGGAGAAACCATTTAGAAAGCTGTGGATCAAAAAGTATTTTCCTAGCTGTGTAGTCTGTCACTTTAAGTTATGGGTCTTATTTCTGAGTACACATGAACCGGATAGTACTATAAGCCTTCCAAAACAATGGCTGAAATCCTGTTGCTTAGAACAGTGGATGCTTTTGAACTGCAACTCCCAGAAACCCCAGTCAGGACAGCTGGTGGTGAAGGCTTCTGGGAGTTGCAGTCCAAAACTCCTGAGTAACCCAAGGTTAAGTACCAGTGGCTTAGAATAGTAAGTTGCACTGGAATAGGTCTATTAATGGAACCTATGGAGGAGTTGACTCACCAAAGCCCTACAGGTTCAATGAGCCTACTATAGTGCAACATACTATGTTAAGCAATAGAATTTCAGCGGATGTCTCTAGATTTATAGAGTATTTTGCTTATATTTAATAATTCAAGTATTTACTGTTTTCTCTTTTTTAGTTGTGTTGATTATATGTAGGGAATAGTAGTTGTTTAAAATGATAAAAACTCCAGGTGCTTGTTGTTTAGAAACATGTTATCTCATCATAGAGCATTGACTGATGTTATGTTAACTCCTAAAGATTTGTTTGCAGAAGAGAACAGCTTTATACTTGTTGTTGTTTCGTTGTTAACTCGTGTCCAACTCTTTGTGACCCCAGGGACCAGAGCATGCCAGGCCCTCCTGTCTTCCACTGCCTCCCGGAATTTGGTCAAATTCATGTTGGTAGCTTCGATGACTCTGTCCAATTTGGTCTCTAGTTCCTCTGCCCCTTTGAAATCCAGCTTGTACTTCTGGGAGTTCTCAGTCCACATACTGCTGACTCCTTCCTTGGAGGATTTTGATCATAACCTTGCTAGCGTGTGAAATGAGCACAATTGTATGGTAGTTGGAACTTTCTTTGACTAGCGTGTTCTTTTGGATTGGGATGTAGACTGATCTTTTCCAATCCTCTGGCCACTGCTGAGTTTTCCAAACTTGCTGGCATATTGAGTGTAGCACCTTAACAGCGACATCTTTTAAGATTTTAAATTTGACTGGAATGCCATCACCTCTACTGACCTTGTTGTTAGCCATGCTTTCTAAGGCGCGCTTGACTTCACTCTCCAGAATGTCTGGCTCCAGGTCAGCAACCACACTATCTGGGTTGTCTGGGACATCCAGATCTTTCTGGTATAATTCCTCTGTGTATTCTTGTCACCTCTCCTTGATGTCTTCTGCTTCTGTAAGGTCCCTACCATTTTTGTCCTTTATCATGTCCATCTTTGCACAAAAGGTTCCTTTCATATCTCCAATTTTCTTGAACAGATCTCTGGTTTTTCCCTTTCTGTTTTCCTCTATTTCTTTGCATTGTTCATTTAAGAAG